ACACACACACACACACACACACACACACACACACACACACACACAGAGAGAGAGAGAGGCTCCCAGTCCTATAAACAGCCTCTCGCTCTGCAGAGGCAGTAAAAAGTGAATGATGAGGGGGCTGGAGGAGCTTTGCTGCCATGTTGCTGATGAGCACATGGGTAACATTTCTTCACACGCCGAGCTTTAGCTGTCACAGCTGCTCCGACTGAGTTGTAGCTCCTGTCTGAGAACAGAAAATAGGAATTGTGTGTCAAAGTCTCAGCTGGGCGAGGAACAGAGCGTCCTCTATGGGCATCGACGCTCGGCAGACGTCGCTTCTGTCTTTTTTTTAATTTTCAGCCACTGTATGTCTGTTTAGTCCACAAACAAGGAGAAAAAAAGAAATATATAAGTAGAGCTGAAGAATCTTTGAAAATATTTTTCATTTAACCACTGAAGCTTATTTTATACATCAGAAATGAGGGTCCTCTTTTTTTGTTAGACCCTCAGCCTAACTACATATCTATTGTTGGATGATGGTCCTCTTTTGCATGTGAACAAGCAGTGCTGATTGTCATCGTTAAACCTGTTTGTCCACCATGTGGAGGCAGTGTTTATAAGGCTGAGCTCACCTAAAACTCCTCAGACTGAAGAAGTCTCTTAGAGGAGAGATGAAACGTTTCAGGAGAACCCATCCAGAGGACCTACTTATTTTTTCTTTTTGATTTTTCTACCTGGATTACTGAGCTGCATCAGGACACTAATGGAATGTGTTTCTCATCTTTTAGAAACATAGTAGTGTCATCAGCCAGTTGTGTTCAGATGAGCTCTTTCCCAGCAGTTGTTATACCTTTCAGCGTGCTGGCTTTGCTGTGATCAGCCACTAGCTGAACCACTAACAGGAAGAGATATGGGGAGACGAGAGACCCGTCTGATTCCTCTACAAATGTTAAATCTAAGACAGGTACACATCTTCATTTGATAGAACGGTAACTATTTTGATATAAAGTTTTAGTAATAATAGAAGTAAAGTATTTGCAAAAAAAACTAATTTCTCCAAACTTTGGAATATAAAGCTGTGTTCAAAGGATTTAAAAAAGTCTTAAAATAAGATAAGCCCATGATTATGAAGATGTCCAAAACAAGTTTAATGTTTGTGATGTGCCTATTTTTTTTAAAGACCGACTGGGTTTCATTAATAATGGAATGCAAAATTACTTTTAATCTTTTAGCAATGACCAACGCTAATATTCCTCTTGAGCCCCATGCACCTGGTACCGGGGCAAACCAGTTCTTTCAGTTTTCTATTTTTTTAACTTCTTTTACCTTAAGATGTATCAGTTGAACCTGGACATGTTTGGTATCAATAGAAACCTAAGAATCACGACTAAAAGCTCATGGAAAATATTTTTTTATATTCAACAACCACAGTTAAGCAGTTGAATTAGAAAGTAAACAAAATGTACAAAATGACATCATTGCAAATCTGTAAATACATTACAATAAATCTGTAAAGGAAACAATTTTGACTTTATTTTGTTAAAGCAAGTCAAAGTAGATATTTAAATATGTTGTAAAGTGTTTTGAAAGTTTTTTTTCACTTGATTTTGAGTGAATATGGTCCAACTGAAGTCAAATATAATTCCTCATTATTTTATATAATATACATGGTGACAAATTAATGTTTGGATAATTTTTTCAAAAAAACAAACATTTAATAACAAGTCTTTTAAGGC